TGGGGACAGGTTCTTCAAACTAAACAAGGCCAATAGTCGATATAAACATATCAGCAAATCAGTCGTTTTTGAGTTATTAAGTTTAAACGAAGTTTACGGTAAATGACACTTTGTTGCAACGTAGACTATGTGATATTTCTTATTCGTGTATATTTGTAGCTAGTCTGTCTTCAATCTTTAGCGTGTGTAGTAGTAAGAGTAAGTGCTGAGACAGGATTCATGGCACAAAAAAACTAAGGTAGTGTCTCCCAATAAACTTTAAACCTATTAACTCAAAAACTAAGGAATTGCGGTCATATGGTCCTTTGTCTCTGCTAAGCATGAGGAACCTCCCCCGAGAGTTTGTAAATATATTTTTGATACACACACTATATATATATATATATATATATATATAAAGAGATAGAGAGAGAGAGAGAGATAAATGTGTAGACTGAAGTCAAATCTCAGTATGTTTCATGCTAAACACAATCATCAGACCATGTCCACTTTTAAATTTACATAGGCTTTATTCCTGATATTGACCACTTTAACCCCTAAATCTACCATATCTTAAAACTGTCATATATGTATCTATGCGAAATAATAGTAATATATTTACTACACAAACTAGCAGAATAATAGATAGAAATGATACAGTACACTACAGGGACGACGGTCTAAGGATGTGAAGAAATTATACCAAACAAAACATAGATAAAACTAGAAAAGCAATAATAAAAATATTAAAAAATAATGGATTCTACATAGATATTAAAACTAACCTAAACGAAGTAGAGTTTCCAGATGTTACTTCACAACTTAAGAAACTCTAGAAGAAAGTATATACCTCTACAACAGTAATTTCTTACAAAACAGCGTAATATACCAAGCTACGGTAAAATCACCAGATAAAATAGAAAAATATACATAGGAGTAATTGAAGAACCTGGAAACAAGGAAATTATGCACAAAAACATCTTTCACAAATAGTAAATATGCGAACAGTACATTGCTTACTAAGTATATCTGGGAACTTAAAAACAAAAAGTAGCTCACACAAAAAATATCATGGAAAATAAGGAAAAGATCATCAGTCTACAGCAATCAATCAAAAACGTAAACTTTGCTTGGAGGAAAAATAGCTATTATTACCTTTTTCAGACCAAAACAAACTACTAAATAAACAATCTAAACTCATCACAAAATGCAGACATGAAAAGAAAGTTTTACTACGTTACTTAAAAATCGAAAACTGAAAAGAATGAATAAAAATAAACAAAAGAAAAAGAAAAAAAAACAAGTAAAATAAATTAACCCAAACAAATAATAAACAAATTAACAAACAACTCCCGTTAGAATAGACAAAAAAGAATAAATAAAAAATAAATAAAAAACAAGTAATAATAATCAATCCATATAAATAAAGTAATTATATAATAAACAAATTAACGAAACACTCCCGCCAAAATAACCGTTATAATAGACTAGAACAATCAATCCGAAAATTGTATAAAAAATGAAAAAATGAAATAAGGAAAAACAACTAAAATAAATGAATCCAAATAAATAAGTAATTAACAAACCGCTCCCGCTAAAATAACTCTTAGAATAAATAAAAAAATAATGAAAAGCTAGCAAAAATGATCAATCCAAATAAGCAAAATAATAAACAAATTAAAAATCTCCCCTGCAAAAATAACAGTTAGAATAAACTACAGGAATTAAAGAATTGGACGTAAAAATAGTTTTAATTACCTTCGCAAACTGAAACAAACTATTAAACAAACGATCAGAACTAATCTCAAAAAGATTTTATAAACCGAACAAAATAAATAAATATATAAAATAAAAAATAAAAATAACTAAAAAACAAGTAAAAACAAATTAACGCAAATAAATAAATAAATAAGTAAATAAACAAACCACGCCCGCCAAAATAACTGTTAGAATGGACTATCCCCAATGCACCACTGACCCGTATAGAATCCAACACACGTGGCCTGACGATTGCGTCAAGCATGAAACAGCCTGTCGCCTCCGAGTGTTGACTTCAATGTTCACTTTTAAATTTACATAAGCTCCATCCTCTATGATATTGAGCACTTACTTCGATAAATATAGCAAACTTAAAACTATATTTCTTCATATATATATATATATATATATATATATGAAGAAATGTACTCTTAACGTGTGCTATATTTATGGGATAAAATGCTCAATATCAGAGATAGACCGTATGTAAATATAAAAGTGAACATAGAAGTCAAAACTTAGAGGCGACAGGCTGTTTCATGCTAGATGCCACCGTTAGGCCACTCTGAAACAGAGTGTCTCCTCTAAGTGTTGACTTTATGTTCACTTTACATATATATATATATATGGGACTCGAATACAGATATCTTATAATATATAAGTGTATATATCACTCCGATCCCACAGTTCGATATATATATATATATATATATATATATATATATATATATATATATATATTTCAGGTGAATGAATAAAATTTTTCTAATCTTTTACATACCGCGGAAGTGAAATTTAAAAAAAAAAAAGGATGTGAAAATTCACGTAGCTAAAAACTTGGCTGACTTTAAAAAAATGCTTTTAATCTGGAAATCTGATATACCAGATTTTTTGAGTCACTGTAAATGCGGTGTTAATATATGGTGCCACTGCTTAGACATTAACTAAAACTCTATAGGCTAAGCTTCATGGAACCTATACAGAGATGTTAACTGCTATACTTAACATATCTTGGAGACAACATTCTACTAAATCACAGTTCTATGCATCCATTCCTGATATTTCTACAATCGTACACAAACGCAGAATACGCTTTGCAAGACGTTATTGTCGAGCAAAACAAGAACTTGCGAGTTGATCTTCTTCTCTGGACACCTAACCATGGAGTAAGCCAGAGTTAGTTGCCCAGCAAACACCTACATTGATCAGCTATGTTATGACACAGAATGCCTCCTTCATGACGTTCCAACATTAATTCAGAAACCTGATGGTAGGTGTGATAGGCTCCTGAATGCCAGTGTTAGCTTGAAAGAATAAAATAAAATAGATTACTAATGTTAACTAATAAGAGGCTAAAAAAACACATCCAATATAGAGGTTTCCTGATTGAATGTTTTTTTGTGAAGACAGTACGAAGAGGAGGTAAGAAGTCCATCAGCTAAGATTATAGTGATCGCAAAGGTATCCACGTAGGAGTCTGTCCAACAAAGTAGCAGTTCTTGAGAACTTCATCGTTACTAATAGAATACAAAAGGGAAAAAAGCATGATTCGTCCCAGTGTACGACGTATCTAGGGCCTTAGATTTTATGTGGTATGTCGGGCCTTAGTTTGGTTTCATTTATTTTGCTTTACGGCATAACAACCTCAATGGGTTAATGTCGACGAAATTTTTAGGATAGGTTCGTATGAATAGAATAAGTATTATTATTTATTTTTCCAAAAATGTATTGCTGGTAATATTTAAAAAAATATTGCTTCAAATTATTTTAAAAAATATTGCTGGTAATATTTAAAAAAAGATGTATTGCTGGTAATATTCAAAAAAGATGTATTGCTGGTAATATTTTTTAAATGTTTTGCTGATAATATTTTTAAATGTATTGTTGGTAATATTTTAATGTACTGCTGCTAATATTTTTTTAAATAATATATAGCTGTTAATATTTTTTTAAAATAATATATAGCTGGTAATATTTTTTTTAAATAATATATAGCTGGTAATACTTTTTTTAAATACTATATAGCTGGTAATATTTTTTTGAAATAATATATAGCTGGTAATATTTTTTCCAAAAATGTATTGCTGGCGTTTTACTTTAAATATTTATTTTTATACTGCTTTAGTGTTTTGATCCGAGTTTGGGTGTTAACTATCAGAGCATAACTGGCGCCCTAACAGGGGCTCCCACCCCGGATCAGGGCGAACCTAGGAACAACACAAATTAAGATGTGATTATTTTCTAAATCTCAGAGGCCTTGTTGCCGGATGTAGCTTACCCAGGGCTTGTATTTGGTATGAACGGTTGAATCTGTGTTGCTCGTAAAAACATTGTTCATGGAAACAGAGATAGTATAGCGAGAGTCATGCCATGTTATGTCCGTGGGAAAGGGTTGTAAGGTGGAAAATAGTTAATCAAGCATAAGGCGTCGTAAGCAGTTTTAGACTCTCTCCAGAAAGGCAAGCGAAGTATGGACAGTTTCCGGCCAGATATTGCAGCAGTAACCCATATTTTCTCTGATTTGACTCTTATTAAGAAAGATGATAGCAGGAAACATCAGATCCTTACTGGCGTGATACAAGAATCTGACCATCTTTACCACTGCATCGTATATATAAATTTCATTCAAGGTATCGGATGAACCTTGTCCTAATAGGTGTCCAAGGCAAGGAGTCCCCTTGAGAGAGCAAACATCCATCTTGATAGTTAAAATCTGACGGTCTGTTCATTGATGCTGGAACGTTATTGACTTGGTTTTAGAGCCATTGCATCTAACCCTCCTTCCTTCATTGATCCGTTTGTTTTGTAGGCAGTTTTTATTTCGTCTACATGCTTGACCATTCAATAAATATTCTTAGGGAAAAGGAGGCGATTATTTCTCTAATGAGATATCTCGAATCTTCTAGCCGGTAGGGGAAGTAAAATACTGTTTAAAAAGTAAATGCACCTTCCACTCAAATATGGATTTCCACTGAAAATAAAGTTTAAAGTAATCAAAACATATTGGATTAGTAAATAAAAATCGATTAGTATCTGTTGTACGTTTGAAGAAGGCCGGAGCGTGCAACTGCCGAAACGTTGTAATAAATATGGCGACAAGCATGAGGACAATAGTCCGACTAATGTAAATAGTGTACACAATACCTCATCTCAGAAATATAAACAGATACTGAAAGGCCGAAACGTTGTAATAAATATGGCGACAAAGATGAGGACAATTGTTCGAATAATGTAAATAGTGTACAAAAAATCGATTTCTTTAGAAATTGCTTCATCTCTCTCTTCTTCTCTCGCTCTTTATCTCTCTCTCTATCTATCTATCTATCTATGTATCTATCTATCTATCTATCTATCTATCTATATATATATATATATATATATATATATGTATATATATATAAATATTTTTTGTAGATTAACTTAGTCCATATAGTAAATATACACTTATAAGCTAACAGTTTTCTGCGCCAGCAAAGCATCTAAATGTTAGGTCAAAGGCTTCTTCTTTCTTTATTCACACGTCTTTGTTGTCGAATAATAATGAATTTCGAAAGTATTTAATGATTTTTACTTCTTTTGTACTTATTTCTATTTGTTGTTGGTCTAAGGAGATCTAATTATTTAGTATGGATTCAGTTTTATATTGAGTTGTATTAATTCGAAATTATATTTGTTTTTTAATTGCACAACTGATCTATAGTTGTCTTTGCATTATCCACTAATTTATAAACACACACACACACACACACACACACACACACACACACATATATATATATATATATAAACAAATGTTTGGAGGTACAAAATTTATAAATAGTTTTAAAAACTAGGAAACCATTGATTTTAATATTAAAAGTCTCTAGAGCCCTTTCAGCCAACATCTCATCAGGAGACAATCGTTGGATTAGCGAAATGAATAATAGCGATATTGAAGAGCAAAAAAGAGGGGGAAACACACTAAAATAACGAACAAGTATATATACTTGTAACGAGGGAAGGGTTATCGTGTTTAGTTGAGAATATAGCTTGTGCCAAGTTGTATAAAAAAGAGTGGTTTAGAATTATTCATACAGCCGATTCCAATAATCATTTGAAGATTTTGGAGTCGGTCTGTATAGGATTTAGAAAACCTTCTCTCTGCCGGCAGAAAGAATTTATAAGGTCTCTAAATCTGTTGGGGATATTTTATTTTAACTGTCCCTCGCTATTTATTTACACGATAACCCTTCCTCGTTACAAGTATATATACTTGTTCGTTATTTTAGTGTGTTTCCCCCTTTTTGCTCTTCAATATCGCTATTATTCATTTCGCTAATCCAACGATTGTCTCCTGATGAGATGTTGGCTGAAAGGGCTCTAGAGACTTTTTAATATTAAAATCAATAGTTTTTAAAACTATATATATATATATATATATATATATATATATATATATATATATATATATATATATAGGGTGGGAAAATTGTGGGCATTTTATATTTTTAATTTCGCGTTGTTTGTTTTGGATTTTGTAGACGGCAAATTATAGTAGGGTCAGTTGTGCAACATCAGTGAAAAAAAGATCACCATTGTGCAATTCATTCCACCAGACCTTTGGAAACGGCATGCTGTACTGCTTGGAATTACCACCTATAGCTTCGATACGAACATTTCATTGTGTTTGGGAGTCAATGTGAAGACAGTACAGAGGATTCAAAAAGAGTTAGATGAATCTAATGGTGATTACGAAGGTACGCCAGTTCGGAAAACTCACTCTGATCATTCTGACATGAAGTCACGGATTAGTTAATGTCGGCTTGAGAATCAACACGGAAGATTACATCAAGTGTCTTGGGGAGGTAGTTGTGCTCTGGGTCAAGAGGGTGGCTGCTGAAGACACAATGAATAGTAGCAGGACCCTGCACACATCACACAAGCAGGAGAACCAAGTCATGACTGTCAGATAATTTCTGCGACCACATCACCATTTACATCTGGCCACCTAACTCCCCAGATTGCAAACCCCTTATTATCATGTGTGGGACTCAATTGGTCGAGAAACCAATAAAACTCTTTTTAACACCAAAGGTACACTGAAGGAAAAGATCATGGCAGCATTCACCAACTTAAACAAGCAAGGAAACCGTCCAGGAGAGTTACAGGAGATGCCGAAGTCGACTAGAGGCCGTGTTTAAAGTCAATGGCGAATTTTTTAAAATAAATTTACTCTTTATTACTTCAAGATATTATTATGTAATATATGTTAAAATGAGATGCCAGCCTTATTCTCATTTTTACGTCATTTAGACGTCATTTTATGTTTCGCACCCTTTATGTATATATATATATATATATATATATATATATATGTGTGTGTGTGTTCATGTGTGTGTGTATGTATGAGAATTCTGTTTCGACCTTAGACATAATTTTTAAAATATACATATATATATATATATATATATATATATATATATATATATATATTAAATGAACTTTGAAGTCAATACTCAGAGGCCTCTGATTGTTGACTTCTATGTTCACTTTTATATTTACATACGCTCTATCTCTAATATTGAGTACATTATCCCATAAATATAGCACACCTTAAAACTATATTTCTTCATATATATAAATATAGATATATGTATATATCCCCCCCCCGCATCCGACACGATAATAGATTTACATCATTCTTTCCCTCACTCACTCAATATGAAGTCACCATTCTCAATTTTTAAACCTGGAGTGCATTTTTGTATTTATATTTGGTTTACGGGTCTGAAGATTTGAAGCCCACATTTTTTTATCGAAATCATTGAAATAAATGGCACCTATATTTTCTAAGATTTTTGTTTTTCATCATATAATAATTTTTACACTGCCTTTGACATAGAGCTCTCGAGGGATATATATCCTCTTGGAAATTCCATACGGATTCCCAATAATTTTATTATTAATATATATTCATATATGTATGTGTATAAAAATGTAGATTCTGCTAAAAGTTTACAGCATAATTTATTGTCTATGAATTCAAGTAAATTCTTCTAAAGATAAAAACGAAATATTTACATAAATACTGCAGAAACGTTGCATTTCCTTTTAAATATTTTCATTTAGAATCAACATTTGGCAAAGATAAATCACAACAAATATGCATACGTTTATTTTTTTTTATTTGTGTCCCTCAGAAATCAATTTTTATGATATTGGATTTTTCAATTACCTTATATTTCTGAAATCTCTTTCAAGAATATTAAACCATCCTGATAACGATTGTGTATGGTATAACCAAATATCGTGTCTATCGCTGCTTTTTCCTCTGAATGAATGATGTTGGTGATTATGATGATGATGAGTGTTTTCAACATTTTTCAACAAAATGTCGTTAATTAAGGTTTATTTAGAATTAAGGACTATCTATTAATTATAAATGACCAATATGGAGAGGAAAAGATACGACTGAAACTGTTAGACATTTTAAAATTTAAATTCGTCAATTCGACGCTCTGAGCTGTGTGTAAAGAAACGGATGGAATACGGAAAGATGGATTACTGATGGAAAGGAATATGATGATCTTGAATCAGTAATTCAGATGATACTCTTGGGAAATTGTGTAAAATCGCAAATGATCCCAAATTTATATTAGAAAATAAGAAAAAAGCTTTTGTGTATAACTGGATAATTCATCAGAAATGAAAAAAAATACCTGGGGAAAACAAATTATGGTTCTATCAACGATTGTTTAGGAAATCATAGACAGCGAATATTACAAATGATGAAGTTCTACGTATGAAGATAAGAAATTATAATAAAATTTTGGCTTTATATATATATATATATATATATATATATATATATATATATATATGTGTGTGTGTGTGTGTGTGTGTGTGTGTGTGTGTATGTGTGTGTGTGTGTGTGTGTGTGTTGATGTGAGTTTGTGACGCTGGGTTCCACGCCCTTTGCGATCGTCAGACAAACTGATTGATTTTGAAATTTTGAATGTATTTATGGTTGTGTATTTTCGTTGTTTGACGGTAGTGGGAACAACAACAATTTCAAAATTAATCAGTTTGTCGGACGATCGCAAAGGACGTGGAACACAGGATCATAAACTCACATCAACACATATAAATATGTTAACTCTATAACTGATATTAAGCTCTTTCTAATAAGTACAGTGCATATATAATATATAAATATATATATAGGAATTGCATATATATATATATATATATATATATATATATATATATATATATATATATACCATGACCGATTTGGTGTCAGTCAGAGTTTCTACCACTGAGCCATCATCACTCGGCAGAGAGAAAACAGCTAATTCTAACGTTTTTACGAATGTAAACAAACGCCAATCAGTCAGAGTGCTCCAGTTTATTTTACTGAAGAGCTTTGCATTAGCGCATGTGGCTGTTGTTTATACAACCAGCATATCTCTCAACAGTGCTGGATTGAAATATATTTTCAAAAAACTTAATTTATATATATATATATATATATATATATATATATATATATATATATATATATCACTAATAAATCAAAAAAGATGTAAGGAGTTACTAAGTGTGAGAATTACGAAAGGGAGACAGAAAGAAAAAAACAAAAATTACGAAGATAAAAGATAAAAACTGACATTGCATTTAATCTTATGATGATCAAATGTGACTTTGAAAATTCCTCAAACGTCATACTCCTCTCTAAGACTAGCCCCTGAAAAAGACAAACCAATTGAGAATGAAACCAATAATTTTTTAAATGATCACAACTAAATATGACCAATATCCCCAATAGTAAAGTCAGCAACTTTCTCAATGTAACCTTAGACTTGAATAACGCTTATTATTAACCATACCCAAAGGATTTATATAAGCATAGATATTTCAGTAAAGAATCAATCATCCAGACAGAAAATTCTAGATAATTTACATAAATCAGTCCAAGTTAGCAATAAGGGAATATTGATAAAACTTATGTTACATATATCCAAGCTTTAGAACTAAGCCATCATAAAGTAAATTTAGAGTATTTAGAAATAAACAAAGAAAATAAAAATAAGCAGAAATAATGTTAACGCAACATTATATGAGTTAATCCACGTTTTAACCGTAACGTCAAAACTAATATCGGAAGAATTTTTCTAAATTTAAGTCATAAATAGTTTAACCATTCACCAACAATAAAAAAGAAATTTAACAAAAACAATGTTAAGATCAGTTGTAACTGCATTAATAACATAGACACATCCATCACCAATCATAACAACATGATATTAAAAAAAAAAAAAAACATATTTCCAACAATAACAACGTAAAT